GTCATACATGTGCATATGTATGTAATCAGTATATTCCATAGATTAGATTTTCAAAAGTTAAAATGGTGAAATAATTCCTTTTTTGTGTATCCATTGCAACATTCTGCATTTATTTACCATAAAATATTGCAAAAAGGGGCATGAAAATGTCACATATTCCCCTTAAATTTTGTTTCAACTAGAATTTCAATGCCTTTGAGTGATACTGTTTCTGAAACTGTTGACATTATTCTACCAAATGATCAAATAAAAATTGGGTGTCTTTTGCCTCATTTTTTCGTAAAATTTGATCACAAAGTTAGTGCGACAAAAAGTTGGAAAAGAACATTACAATAATTGCCGGATTGATGTCTGGTATGGATATGAAAATACGGACTTTCATACAGAAAAGAGGACATAATACATACATTACACAATCTTGATGTTACTATAAACCCACTATGAAGGCTATATTAATCTTCAGCTATCCATAAATGAATTTTATTGCACACTAGTTCTCATATTTGAAAAATCCACAGGGGCCAAAATGCGGAACTACACACCTTACTGTGGAGTGCTACCTTAATACGATTTTTCCCCCTGCTTCAGCTTTTAATACATTTGTCTATGTTCTGGTAGCTGTAACGATTAAAAGGGTTCCTTATTCTTTAAAATTGGTTCAGTAATAAAGATTTTATGAAGGTTAGCAGTTGACATTGAAAGCGACAAAAAAGGATTTAAAAAAAAATTCTTGATCAAAGTGTAAATCTTCAGTCTGTCTAATTTTTTGGTTAAATTTCTAAAACTTTTTCCTTTATCTGTTTAAAATCATAAAAGTACCACTAAAGAGGAAAAATTGTACAATATTTAGGTATTTGAAAGCACTTATAGGTCAATTTTGATGTACATACCAAACCTTGGTTTAGAAACTCTCAAATAGGGTATAAGTTTTAACAGTAGTGGCAACTTTAGATTTAATTCATACCAAATTATAAAATCAAATCCTGCTAAAAATGTTTCTTTGACTTATTCGCATTCAAAATTGTCAAGCGATATATCCTGAATGTATAAAGCGCAATCTTTGGTTACAAGGATGAATCTAATGGAGTACAAATTTAAGACCGAACCATGTTTTAGTGTCAAAATGTTTATATTTGGTTGCTAAGGACAGTAAACAATTAAATTAACATGTATTGTCATCCTAGAAGATTTTTTCCCTTCAGAACAAAAGTAAGAATCTAACAGTCAATAGATTTATGGTAGAATTCATCTTAAAAAGTGCATTTCTGTACATTCTGATGTGCCAAAATTAGAAAATAAAATTAAAAATTGAACCACAAAATGTTTAATCATCTTCTATTCATGGCTTGCTACATGTTCTAATACATTAAGCCAACTGTTTGTGTCATAAATCTTCCATAGATTTGATTTCAAAAGTTTTCAAAAGTTAAAATTGTGAAGAAATAATTCCTTTTTTGTGTATCCATGGCAACATTCTGCATTTATTTACCATAAAATATTGCAAAAAAGGGGCATGAAAATGTCACATATTCCCCCAAAACTTGGTTTTAAACTAGAATTGTAATGCCTTTGAGTGAAACCGTTTCTGAAACTGTTGACATTATTCTACCAAATGATCAAATAAAAATTGGGTGTCTTTCGCCTCATTTTTTTGTAAAATCAAATCACAAAGTTCGTGCGACAAAAAGTTTGGAAAAAACATTATTAATTACCGGATCGATGTCTGGTATGGATATGAAAATACGGACTGTCATACAGAAAACAGCCAATAATACATATATCACACAATCTTGATGTTCCTATAAACCTTCTATGAAGGCGATATTAATTTCAGCTATCCAAAAATGAATTTTATTGCACACTAGTTGTCATATTTGAAAAGTTCACAGGGGCCAAAATGTGAAACTACAAACCTAACTGTGGAGTGCTACATTACATCCACTTCTTTGGAACTTTGGTGGATAGTTGTATCATTGGCAATAAGACCACATCTCCTTATTTTTATATTGGTGCAGGGCGATATCAGCAAAATATAAATTATTTCTGGTAAAAAAATCTAACAAATACTGTAAAAAAAAAATGCTCGACGTTTTTTCTGTACAATACCTAATCAACTCAAATATTTAGGCATAAACGGGACATGTCTGAATATTTGTTATATGATTTGAGAGGAAAGAATATGAAAAATAACACGGATTGACTTCATACAAATTCCAGTCAACCAGACATATTAAGTGAACTTATATCAAGAATACATACACCATTACTTTAAAGATACTTGAGCATAAATCTCAAATATGGGGGAACTTTTGACAACAGAACGGTAGAAGCACAATCTTATTAGAATAATAAAGACAGGGTTGTTGTATCAATTTATCACACAAAATTGTGACGAGCACATCTTGTATACTAAAACCTCTCAAAAGCAAAGAAACAGTGCTTTTATTGCTGATCTTCATCTCATGTTCACAGTTGTGCCTTAAGCATGAAACAACAACTTCCATTTCTTTACATATTCAATTGACCCCCTTGAGCAGAAATGTTAATTACACTCAATCACGATTCAAATATGAATTGAAAAACACAAATTCAAAAATATCTAGCAGAGAAATCGTCATGTATCGCCCAAGATTATCAGTGTAATATTTGTCTGAAATTTAACGGTTGACATTTTTGTAAAGAGGTAGGGTCAATTTCCCCTGAATCTATTTAACTAAAGGCAACAGTAGTATATCGCTGTTCGAAATTCATAAATCGATTGAGAAAAAAAAAACAAATCCGGGTTACAAACTAAAACTGAGGAAAACACATAAAATATAAGAGGAGAACTACGACACAACAGAAACACAACATTAAAATGTAACACACACAGAAACGAACTATAATATAACAATGGCCATTTTTCTGACTTGGTACAGGACATTTTGGTTTATAAAATTCACAGCATTATATGTATACTTCGATATTTTAACAAAATATTAGTGAATTTTTGAACATTTGACAAAATTAGAAATGCCAAAAGATGAATAAATTTTAATAGATTTGTTTATTTACTAACATTACGTGGATTTAAAACTATAAATTGATTTTCGATAACAAAATAATTAGTTTTTGTTAAAGATGTCTTTTGGCGAAAAATTTAACAAAAACATGTAAAATTTACAATTTTGTCTTCAACAGCAATGTGTAGTGTTGAATGACATTTTTATTAATTTGAAATATGCAAAATGTTTGAACATTTGTGTTAGAATATCTTATAGAATATTCTATATTCGATTATTTGAGGTTCTACCCATTTTCATATTTTAAGTGAAACAAATACAGGTGGAATTGGCCAAAACTCTTTATTTGAACCAGGTATCAACACACTGAGACACCCTTGGCCTTCTTTATGTAATCTTAAGGCTTTGTTTATTGTATAAACGCATATTGTCCTTTTTGGAATTTATCATATAATCGTTTTCAAAATGATTTTATTGAACTAGGAAATTCAACGTAAAAGTTATAAATTAAACAAACAATCAGTTCATGTTTTTTCTATGCCGTTTTTGCGCAAATTAAAGTAATGTCTTTTATTTATCAGAAACATCTTGACATTGTTTGTCAACATTTTTCGGTGTTGATACCTGATTGAAATAAAAAAATGTTTTTGTCTGATTAAACCTGTTTGTGATATAAAGTAATATCCATATTTACAGCTTATTTCCTTTATCAATGCTGCTAAAAGACGGTTGAACATAATTTATTCAAATGCACACTGAATATGTATACCATATATATAACCATATTTATTTCCTTCTTTAGTTGTTTGTTTGTTGCTTGTTAATTAAGTGCCAGTCTTTGTAAGAATCAGGCAATTAAAAAGAATTTCCAAACAAGGCCGAAATAAAAACCAGTCGACCTTTTCATCCTATTTTGAAGTAACCCTCATCCTGAGTTAGAAATGGTAGGTGTTTCGTTTATGCGTGTTGTGGTCATTCGAGAATTATCTAGATAACTTTTGGTTAGAATTATTGCAAATTAAAGAGTTAGCTCCCCTTAATTGTTAACTTCTAGTGCATTTCAACCAAATTTTATCTAGAAATACCAGAACAGGAAAAGGAAAAGAATGTTATATTCGTGCACCAATATACATTTTGAAGTTAAACTATTATAACAATCTTTGAAAGTCCCTTATCAATGCAATTGAAAACCAGCATCAATGAAACTAAGAACTATTTCAAATCATAATAAAGATATTTTGTCGGTTTCTGGATTGATAAAGCAGGCCAATGAGTTGTAAAAATGAGGTCCATACTTGTAAAATATCTGTATATTATTGATCATTATTATTTGACAGGTTTAAATTTGATTCCTATGTTGTTTGTACAATATCCATAGTTGTAATTAATGTACTGTATATTATATATGTAATAAGTGTTTTGCATAATATGTCAGGGTTTATTTTAGCCATAAAGTTCTATATTGATTAATGTATAATTATTTTCAAATTCAATTGTCACACCTCATTGATTGTATGTATATGTACAAAATCACAAACATCTACTTCCACTGCTGCTACTACCTTTTCTATTTCAATGTTGCTGCTACCTCTTGTACTGTTACATCTACTTCCACTGCTGCTACTACCTCTACTATTGCATTGCTGCTGCTAAGTCTTATTCTGTTAAATCTACTTCCACTGCTGCTACTTTCTCTTCTACTGCAATGCTGCGATTTCTATTTTTACTGCTGCCACTTCTATCTCTACTGTCACCACTTCTACTTCCGCTACTGCTACTACCACTTGTACTGTCGCATCTACGTCAACTGTTGCTACTTCCTCTACTACTGTCACATCTACTTCCACTACTGCTACTATCCCCACTGTAACCAATTTTACTTCGACTGCTGCTACTACCTCTAATGCTGCTACTTCTACTTTGACTGCTCCTACTACCTCTACTGCTGCCACTTATATTCCCACTGCTGCTACTACCTCTACTGCTGCAACTGCTATTTCCACTGCTGCTACTACATTTACTGCTTCCACTGCTGCTCCTACATCTACTACTTCCATTGCTGATACTTCCTCTTCTGATTTCTCTGTTGCTACTAGCTATACTGCTGGCACTTCTACTTCAACTGCTGCTGTTGCTTCTTCTCCTGCAACATCTACTTCTACTATTGCTACTACCTTTACTACTGCCAATACTACTTCCACTTCTGCTATTACCTTTACTACTATCAATTCTTCTTCCTCTGCTGTAACTACCTCTGCTGCTGCCACTTTTACTTCCACTGCTTCTACTACCTCTACTTCTGTCACTGCTACATCTACATCTTCTACAGCCATGTTTACACCCCCACCCCACCCCTCCCCCAGTTCCCCGGGTGCTACTACCGATAATACTGCCGCTTCCACTGGGGCTACTTCCTCTACTGCCGCTACATCTATTTCCACTGCTGTTACTGCTCCTACTACTGCCAGTTCCTCTTCCACTGCTGCTACAACGTCTACTACTGCCACTTCTACTTCCACTGCTGCAACTACCTCTACTACAGCAACATCTACTTTAACTGCTGCTGCAACATCTATTGCTGCAACATCTACTTCCACTGTTGCATGTGTTGCTGCTGCTGCTAATTCTTCCCCTGCTTCTAATTCCTCTAATACTGCCAAATCTACTACCACTGCTTCTACTTCCTCTACTGCTACCACATCCTTTTCCACTGCTGCTCATACATTTTTGCTACTTCGTCTGCTACTAATATAACTTAACTACTACAACTGCTACTAATACTATTATACAAAGATTATCTTATTTACCTTTATAATATTTTATAAAGTTTTAGAATATCCTATAAATTTGTATCTTACTTTTGCATTTTAATCTCATAATATCAATAAACCGGAAACCGACACCTTCATGTGGTACAAATAAAGATGTTGTTATCTTTTCATGGTTTGGTTTTAATATCAAAATGAAATTGGAAATAGAAAGATAAAAAAGCTATCTGATATTTCTTAGATGTTCATGTCATTTTATTTATTGTTGACATCAATTCATATTGATTCTAAAACTACTGTTTTGCATTTATAATTCATGTATTAATAAGATTTGTGTCCATTTCAATAAGCATTCTTGCCTTTCGGTCAAGGTAAAAAATAATCAAATTCTATGATTTAACATAAAATGCTAGAAAAAGATGTGATGAGTTATTACAAAGAGTGGACAACATGGCGATTTCTTACACGCTGTTGACAACGTTTTGTTTAATTATTGTAATTTTGAACATGACGATGTATTCTGCAGCTTGGGAAATGAAACAACACATATTTTCCGTTGAAAAAAACAAAAAGATCATATCAAATAACAACACAAGTACTTATAAGATCTTTTATAACTATAGCGTTTTACAATGTGCAGTGGAATGCGTAAACGATGAAAATTGTCATGCAACAAGCCATGATAAATCCGTTTTTACTTGCCACCTTAGTTTAAATACATCTGAGCTTTCTTCTTATGCTCTAGAAACAAATCCAGGATGGAATGTTTTACACATAGTCGGCAAAAATAGTAAGTATTTTTTATCAATACCAGGAATCATAATTTGTTATGTTATAATGGTGTTACGACTTTAACCGAAAAGATAAAATTCGCCAGTTTATCATTTGTTTAACGTACATGAACTTTGTAAAATTTACTTTTGTTTGAGTCTTTGTTAGATTTATTTGTATGTTTGTTTGAATTTTTTAATCAGTTGTGTTATATGGATATAAGAAGACGTGGTATGAGTGCCAATGAGACAACTCTCCATCCAAGTCAAAATTTATAAAAGTAAACCATTATAGGTCAAAGTACGGTCTTCAACACGGAGCCTTGGCTCACACCGAACAATAAGCTATAAATGGCTCCAAAATTACTAGTGCAAAACCATTCAAACGGGAAAACCAACGAGAAACACTTATGAACCACATCAACAAACGACAACTACTGAACATCAGATTCCTGACTTAGGACAGGTGCAAACAAATGCAACGGGTTTAAACATTTTAATGGTACCAAACCTTCACCCTTTTTCTGAAACAAAAGTGTTACATCACAACATAGAAAAACACACTATAAAATATCAACTGAAATAGCTTAACTCAATCAAAGGACATATTAACACCAGTGAACATACACTGAACAAATAAATTTGACCTATGATACAATGAAAATACAAAATAAAAAACTAAGGGAAGAATAATTAAAGTAACATGTTATATCGGTATGAAATGTTAAACAATTTAAGAAAAACAATATGCTCGAACAAAAATATCAGCCATTTGCAATTACTATAAACACAGGTAAATGGAATATATGTCTGAGATGTATGTTTACACAGTTTTGACTGCTCAATCCCAATTATTGTCACATTAATCTATTATGTCTGTTTGGGCTTCTGACCCAATTTTTTCATTATAACGGATCGTCTATAAACAATGTCTTACAAGTGGGAAGTTAAGCTAGCTATACAACCATGTTTAACTCACCATTTTCCTCGGAAAATGCCTGTACCAAGTCAGGAGTATAAGAGTTGTTTTCCATTCGTTCCGTTGGTTGATAAAGTCTAATTGAATTTGACAGTTTGTATGAACTTTGCCCTTTTTAATATATCTTGGAGTTCGGTATTTTTGTTATACATTTTTTTTTATCAATAATTGCATAATATTTTAACCTTAAGGATATTCCCTACTCACGCTTTTTTAAATACTGTTATTAGTTGATAGTATATATATATGTAACGGAACTGAAAAAGCAGAAAAATATGCAAGGTCCGTGATCTTGTTTTTGAGATATAAGCCATTACAATATTGGCGTGAAATGATTCTTTCTAGATCTTTCATACATTAAACATTGGTTCCCTTTTTCTTTCAAAAAGTATGGAAAAATAACAAGAATTTTGGATTTTTAAATAAAATGTTATAAAATTATAAAAAGAAAACTAAGGGGTTAGCAGGGAAAATCAGAGGATTTCGAAAATCTGACAGAAAGTCAAAAAACAAGCTTAATATAAGGGAACATCTCAATACCTTTTTACTTGCATTGTAATAAAAATAATATTTAGAAAAATCGTAAATTATTCAACTCGTGACGAAACAACATAGATAATTTACTTATGCGCAACACACATTCGTGAATTAGTGTGTTGTTCAGTAACTCGTTGAATATTGTTCTATGTTTCAATTCTTTGATTAGTTATTCTATGATAATGTAAATCGTTAGTACAAGAAATTTGATTCGACGTCATCATATAGTTTTTAAGTTAAAAACATAAAAGTCGATTTGGTAAATTGCACTACGAGATCGCGTTTCCATTTGTCTAAAGATTCACTTAACAGTTTTACATTTTACCAATTGTATTCAAAAATCATAAAAGATACCAGGCTTATACTTTATTAGCCATACACTCTTTACATAAGACATATCAGTAGCGCTCGAACCAAAACAGTTTTATCAAACAAGGAATAAACCTTTACGCCGGATATCTCAATTTGTGACAGTAAAATTAGCTAACGACGTCGAGTAAAAAAAGTATGAAATACGCTTTATATTGTCCTGCTATACAACAATAAAGAAAACGTAAGAGTATCTCGAATATCTATGCATCAGCATTGATACAATATATTTAGCATAAAGTGTGTTTGTAAAAATCAAATAGAACATTGTAGAAGCCAGTAAGAGTATATCAACTGAAAAGTATGAATTCTAACATACAATGTATACTTACACTTGGGACTTAAGTCATCTTAAATTGATTATTTTGACTTTTATAAAACTATATTTTATTTAGCTGAAAAACAACAATCAAGGACATATGACATGACATCCATATTTCCCTTGAGGTGATATAAACATCGGATGTCTTTATTCTTTTCATAAGTCGCTCTATGTAAACTAACTATTTTTTGATGAGCAGACTTTCATCTATTCAGTCGACCAAAAGTATAGAATACAAATCGATATGAGCCAACCAGTTTAACATTTGTTAAAGACACGACTCTCAAAGACACATCTTTTTCCTGCTAATTGATACGTTTCAATCATAATTTCATAAAGCCAAACAAATGTTATCTAGATCGTATTGCATAAATCAGACAAAGTTAACTTTCAAACCAAGGAAAATATAGATAGACTATTGTACCATCCAAGATTGGTACATATAAATATAGTGTTAATGATATACTAGTTTGTTCAATCGTCATAAACTTTATACATCTAAATATGATTAATTTGATTGTGGATCGGCTTATATGCAAATAGATTCAAAATTATTATTTCCATTTCAGACATCAAAGAGTTAATGAAACCGATAGGAGGTAACATAATTAGTAATCTATCCTCGATATTCCAGCAATGACATCTATAATTATATTTTGTTTATGTTACCTGATTTCTCTGTGCTGATGTAGTTTTGGGATGAAATAGCAAAAAGCACACAATGATGTTTAAATCTAATTTTTACAAACTTAAAAATAGAAATTCAATATTCAGAAGCTTGCTGGCACTCGTTTTATTCCAAATATTTCATGTATATATATAATACTAATTCAAAAAACAATTTTAAAAGAGGTTATTATATATAACTTTACTGTAGCGTAACGTAGGAATCGGTTGATTTGATTGATTTTTGGTGTTTTAACGCCACTTTTAAGCACCGCTTTTAGGCTATTTCGTGGCGGCTAGTTTTTATTGGTGGAGGAAGCCGGAGAAAATCACCGACCTTCGATAGGAAAACTGACAATCCTAGTCAATTAAGATTGGAGTCGAGTGCACCCGCACGAGCGGGGTTCGAACTCACAACCTCAGTGTTGACTGGCTAGTGATTACAGTAGTAACTACTTAGACCACTCAACCACCGAGGCCCCCACGTAGGAATCGGGAACGAAGTCTTTGAAATGAAATATTCGATGCAATTGTAAAAGGAAAACTTTTTCCCTCAGAAAAAACAACTAATAAGAAAATTAAACTTTCAAACAATGCACTATAATCATTATTAAGGGAATGTGTCTTCATAAATTATATATTAAATTGCATAGCACTTTGTAACATCCCCATATACCCAAACACATGATCCACTGCTATATAATTACGTCATCATAAATATACCAAATCATGCAAAATATTTGAAGAGTAGCAAACGTAAATATTATTACAGTATGGCTGAGGAAGGCTTATCATGTGGTATTTGGCAGTGAATAGTATATTTGCCAATAACCAATTTGATTTCTTTATTGTACACTTTTATTCCTCTTTGGAAATTATAGACGTGTTCACATATGGACAAATTGAGTTGCTATCCATTCAAACTATATTAAGTTGAAAGTGATATAAAGGCGTTAAAACTGATTTTAATTGAAAACCAATTCCTATTAATTTTAAAGCTTTATAGCTTAGGAAAAGATTATATGTAATCAAATATTTGAAGAAAAAACGGATAAAAAATATATGTCCCTCCATAAGGAAGAAACTCGTACAAATGGATCTCTAGTTACAGAGTCAATTATGGTATTGTAAAATGGACATTTACATAGATAAACAACTAATTGTAATCGTTAATTAAATAAAAACAAACAAAAAATTACATATTGTGTTCATGCGTTGACAACGACACTTTAAACACATATACCTTTATCCCGCGACATTCATTACAGATAAGATAAACACTGCAAACCATGAAATATTTAAAAAATTTAACAAAAATCTTTCACA